CCTTGGACACCATCAGGGACAGTTCTACCTGGTCCTATAAGGTCTCTATGAATCAGAACTGACTCAATGTTAGTCCGTTTGTTTTTTGTTGCTGTTCTTTTATGGGTTTTACTATTGTCTCATATGGTTCTCGTGATAATTCTGAGGCCATTGGTTAAAGGATAAATTAACACTGGTTAGCTGTGCTAGATTTCAAATGCTCACCCATAAGATCCTGAGGTGCATGTTTTCTCTCTAGGGCTACACAGTATTGGCCTGTCAGTATTGGCATACAAACTAGGATGAAAATGTAAGCGGAAGATGGATTCTAAATTGGCTGTAAATTAAAGGCACAAACAATGGAAAAGCATTAAGAGGATTAAGACTAGAAAGGTGAGTATGCAATTATGTTCTAATTTGAAAATGTTATACAACTTAAAATTCGATAGATTAAGTAATACTAAACTTACATTTAGGAAATAATGTTAATAAATCCTTTCATACCACCAGTTAGAAAACCACTGAGATTTTTAATTTATTTTAAGTCTGATAAGTTATAAATAAAAACAACAAAAAACTAAGATAAAACATAGCAACAGGTTCAGGAAAGAAAAGAAGCGAAAACACCCATACCACTTGCTTCTGTGTAGTGAAACTTTTGCCAATGGTGGTGTGCGCTAGTTCCTGGTCCATCTGTGCCACGTATGACTTCAAACTGTCCAGAGTTCCTTTCAGAGCTGCCTCTTCCCCAGGCTCTTGTGTTTCAAAATCCAAGTCTTCATCATCACTGTCTGAACATTCAAAGCCGTCCTCATCCAGATCATCAGAGTCAGATTCAATAGGCCCTGGGCCTACAAAACATAAATAAGGGTTTATATATATAATCCTTCTCAAAGGATTATAATGTTACCCACAGAAAGAGACTGAATTACACAATGAAGCTACATAAATCTTTCCAATAAAATAGTAATGCTTGTAGATATCTACATAAAATTACACACTTTGAGAGGATTTCACTTTAAAATATACATAAAGTTTTTTTAAAAAAAATTAAAAACTTAATAATACATGAATACATTTTGGTGTAAAAATTTAAGCCACACTGAAATATTATTTTAAATCTCATTTTCTCCTCATAGGTAAATATTCTGTAAGTTTGGTGAGCATCCTAACTGAGGTAGTTAGTTTATTGTGCCAATGTGGCAGATAAACACGTGGGATTAATTGAAGGGCAAAGAGATAAATGGCTCAGCGAGCCTCGCCTTTCTTGTTTCTTGCTCTTTGATCATCGGACCAGTGTGTGGCTGCCTTGTTTGTTCTGTGCCTCAATTTGCAAGCTACACTACCTGTGGGACACCTAACCCGTGGACTGTGTCACTGTAATGTGAGGTTCCTACAAGACCTGCTTCACCACACCATTGAAATTTACATCTCTTGAGCTGGGACTGTTGGACCCTGTCATCTGGCTGACTGTTGGTGACCTGCCTTGCTGTTTGCTGCCTGTGCCCAGATAGCCTGAATTGCTCTACAGAAGACTACCCGGCTGCCCTCAAGACTTGAAGGACTTCAAGTGTCTCACAACTGTCTCACAAGTGTCTCACGGGAGTGAGTTGCAATGAGCCATGTATACTACTTTATAATTTTTAACTGTTTACTTCTTAAGTTATATATCTATCTATAAACATATATAAAATTATTAGCATTCGGGTTTTGTTTCTCTAGAGAATCCTAACACAAAGACCTTTGCCTATGTAGTTTTGTCTTTTTCATATAGATGATATCAAGATATCTAGTCTATCATCGTCTCTCTCTCTCTAAATATTTTCCATTTATTTACATGTCTTGCAGGATTTTCTCTCTAAATAAATGGAACTCATCTTTTAAT